AGTGCACTAGTTCCCGAATCATTCAAAATCCCGATTTCGCCCGCAGCATCGGTTTTAGTGTACTATCAACCGCTTTTATTTTGAAGTTAGTTCACAAGAGAATATTATGCGAAAGCTAGTTGTAAAATTCGGCTGAGACCATTTTGAACAGAACAATACGTTCAACAAAACAGATATTCGGATCGTTCTGTGGAGAGCGCGTTGAAACGACAGAAAATCGAACGGTTGGTATAGAAGAAATGTCAGTTTACAAATGACATTACGATGGAGAAGCGATCAAACTCCGTTTCACAGTCGCACCCAAGCCCGGCATCTCAAAGATGAATTTCTTGTTTCTGTAACTGCATAGCGTGTTCAATTTTTCACCTAATCCTGTGAGATACATTGGTAGTACCGCCTTGATGCACACACAATGATCACAAAGTCGATTTCACCTTGTTCAGTTAAATCATACCGTAGAGTTGATCACAGTATCTATCCCCTCCCGTCTATCAGGTCCGTGAACAACAATATAGCAGGATCAAGCGCCGCATCTTGACTGCAATAGAAATTAAAAAAAAAAAAACAATCTCCCTTATATGCACAATGAAGTTTGTGAAACGAAGGTCTCTCATGGCGCTCTGTCCGCCCTATAAGTGAATCGCCGGTCCTGACTATCGTCACATCCGATCAGGACACCGAGCCACGAACAGGGAACAGTAACTACTTTCCACCTTTGTAAGTAGTTGCCTCCTACCGATTTACCCTGATTATTTAAACTGTGAAATATTCGTAAGAGAGAACGACCCAATGGAATCAAATCTTGTTGAACTGGAACGAATGACAAACGCGTTCACACAATAGGACAGAAGAAAGTGATGCACGAATTAACAAGTCGATTGTGCACAACCTTACCTCACTCGACTTCAGTGTGATCTGATGCGGGTGTAATCGGCGCAGTGGATTTTCCCCATGCAAATAGGCAGAAACACGCGCATCCCGTTGACGAGTCCACTGATCCGCGCTTCGTGTGACTACACCGGACGATTTGGGCAGACGAGCCACGATAACTTCGGATGGGAGATCTTCACGGAGAAATGTGGCAAGGAATCCATCCTCGATCACCAAAACCGCGTCGACCTAGCACATGGTATTGGAATTTTAGGGACAGGGATATGTAGGGTAATGATATAATTTGGCTAATAATTTTACACACACACATTCATGCGTCTTGCCTCACTTGCCATGTGCTTCTTCTGAACCTGTTTAACAAAGATTTTCAATTGGTTTCTCGTATTACCATTTCAGGTGCTCTCACACAGCTGAATACGTAAACTGGCAATCAAAATGGAACAATAACAAACCGGGGTAGCACAAAACAGATCACCCGAACAGTCACAGTCAATCATGGTGAGTGATGAGACGGATCAAACCAGCAATTATGCAAGACTGACCACAAAATCTAACAGCTTGGACAAAAGTGGTTGACCGCCAACACCTGCGGTAAATGGAAGAATTCGATGATGGTTGTGTTGTTTACTTAATATTCTGAAGGATTAAGTGAACAAGACTGGATGCATGAGTTATTTTACCAGCTCATTTGCTACGTCACAAAAACGGGTAAGATACAAGTTATAGTACTGAACCGCAAAATTTCCCTACCGTTTCTTCTTGATTGTGGTTTAGAATCGGATGTGTTCAAGATTCTAGTCAATTGGTTGTCACCTCATGTTATGGTAAAAACAGCTTTGTTGGATGAGTTAACCGATTGTTATCCAGAGAGCCATTCTCACACTCGATTCTTTCCGTGTCTGTATGAAACCAGCCTTTTAACTTCCATAGATTGTCGGTATTCGAACACCGCTGTCTACGTAGCATTGCACGTGTCTGGTGGGGTAACCGGACTACCAATGCTGAGGTTAGGCGTAGAGTTTTAGGCAGTCGCGATCGTCCACTGGAGCAAGTAGTCGACCTTCGTAGATTACGCAGGTAGAGACATGTGCTAGGCGTGTCACCAAATAGGTTGCCACGGCGAGCGATGTTTGTCGAGACGGAGTGGTTAGAAAAAGATCAAGGGAGGTGAAACTAAGACCCGGCATGAGGGTATGAAAAATCTGGGTTACATAGGCCCCGTTAGGCCCCCTGGCTGGGAACCCCGAGATCATGGTCAGCGATGGTTAGAGACGTTGAACGATAAGGCTGGGTGTCGTAAACAGTGGCGCTCATGCATCTACTCATTGTTCTTGTAACTGCAGTCTATATAAATTCGCTATCTTTCGCTTGAATTTGTTCTCAACATTCTAACCTTCGTTATGCTGTTTTATCCGAATGGACAACCAAAACCGGTACACGAAAGTGCACGATTTAATGTTGTTCCAACAGAAACTGAACTGAACTGAACAAACCGGTTACGGTTGCCGTTTCTTGTTAGGCAGTCTACTCTGCAGTGTTTCAACGCTCAGGATATTCACACGGCTGGACACCGTGGGTCATCTTTTCTGCCCACGTTGACGATATACACAACTAAAGGTTCGAATAGTGATAACTGTGCATTGCAACTTACGATATATATATATATATATATATATATATACCACGGTACAATCTTTGTAGCACAGAAAAGTTTTCACTCATGAGTTGCTTAGGGCCGTGATACTGCCAAGTTACCCAGGCCAAGCAGGTGAGTTTAACAATTGGAGCCTTTTAAGAGATAAAGCCCAACCGCAAGGCAGCGGGGTGGTGTTCAGTTCATCGGATCATATGAACGTTTGGACGCGGTCAAACGGCCCAGATGTCCGTTGGAGCCGGTGACCACTGTCACAGCCAAGGCGGTGTGGTTTGTGCTCTTCTTCTTGGTCGATTTAGAATCAGGATGCTTAGTCAACTCATCTGGGTGACCTGCTACTGGTTCGCCAACACGGTTCTAGCCCTGGATTTCGGCATTTATCTTTTCACTTTGGTGGGAAAACACCTCAGCCAAGGGAAGACTGAGTAGGTCTTCCTCATCAGAGGCTATTTCAAACTTCTGGNTTTCTAAGTAGTCACTTTCAATTGTGTGACTACATGCATTTTTACACACTGAGTATTTTGGTTCCCAGATTTTAACTTGTTATTCAGGTCTTTCAAACTTTTTTCTCCATTTGGTGGTACAGCCGGGAATACTTGGAAACCTTTTCGAGAAAATAGTTACAACTGATTGAATGTAGAATTGCTTGCGCTTGAGGTGATCACTCAGCATTTATCACCCAACTCAATCCCCCCGCTCCTAATCATGCATTATTCGCTCCAGTTCTGACTGTCACATGCTTTTTTCTATCGACCTTTCCTGATTCGATCACAGATTATTTTACGTAATCTTTTTTTCTTTTTTTCACCTCACAACGTCAAACAACTCAGTTAGCAGGACATTCGTTTCTCTACTGTTATTCTATTTTCCACCAACGGCCTCTGGCCTCTGATCGCTTTAGTGATTGTCGGATTCGATCCCCAATTGGATCGATGGATTCGCACTGCTGATGAAACCTAACCAAGTCGAAACAGTTGTGCAGTATTTCTTAGCTTTTCAGTTCATGCTTAATTTGCCTTGTGCCCGACAGAATCCATCGTGTGGTCCTTGATCACAGTTAGCGTCCTGAGACATTCTCGGTCTGCTCGCTCATCTCTGGGACTTCTTTGAGCTAAGCGCTATGCAGCGAATCAAATGATTCTATCATCTTCGGAGCCGCGTGATGCGATGCATCGAATGCAAATTTCTTCGTGAACATCATATATACGCTTTATTACGCGACGTTCTTCTCGTTATAAGTTGGCATGGAAGCGCAGATTAATATTTAAATAGAATGGTCAATACAAAGCGAAGAAAAATACTGCTAGATGTCAATATTTCATATACTACTTTCAGCCTCCTCCATCTCTCTACACTTTCCTATCCACCGCTTCTTGCGGTCATTCCTCAAACTCTTGATGAGCTGGCGTTTGAGGGATTTGCGCGCTGTCATATGCCGCATCCGGACGAAGGGTTCTGCGGGCGTCCAGCAAGGCAGCCGAGGTCGATGAGATCCATCGTTTATGTTTTGAGCTTGCGTCTACGCGGCATTGTGAGAATCTGGTGGGGCAGCCGGACGAGCAATGCTGAGGTCAGGCGAAAAGTTTAAAGCAATCGCGGTCGCCCACTGGAGCAAGTGGAAGAAAGCCAAGGGTGGTCAAGCTAAGACCTAGCACGAGGGTATGAAAACCCTAACCTGGAGTCTAGGTCCCACAGGTCCGGTTAGGCTCCCTGGATGGGGACCCCGGAGTGGTCGTACCCGAGGGCTAGAGACACTGAGTGATATGGCTGGGCGTCGTAAACAGTGGCGTTCATGCATCTTCTCAATTTCTCTGTATCATTAATCCACTGAACTTTCAATCTTCTCTTCGATCCTACTTTCAGTCTTTCCGGTCTTTCTCCTAATATTCATCCAAATGGGCAGCCGAAAGTTAGCAACTACAACCGGCGCACGATAGTGCATGGTTAATGGTAATGCAAACTGAAACTGATACTATTTTCAGTCGCTGAGAGATAGGACTGTCTTCTTTGTTGTCCCGTGGTGTTTGAGGACTAGCAAAGGTGGCCAGAAAATCCCTTTCGGGATGCTTAAACGCATATACGATGATCAGTAGTAGTGATCGTTCCCACTCCATTACGTCATGCAGTTCCAAATCGCTGCAAAATAACCTTTGGTAGGATACTGGAGTGCGTTAACTCAAAGACCACTGTGATTCACTGAAATTCTAAAGGGTTTTGTAAACAAGCTCCGATATTCAGCCTACCGGTCACGCGTACACTTCGTCAATCGTACTTACTAACCGTCGTTATT